TTTTTTTCTAAAAACAATTCCTGGCGTGAATGAACAGAGCGAGTGCAACTCGGAAGTATGATAGAGACCGGGGCCAAATTGAGTGTCTGCTGCCACAGGTAAAAGACATTGGTTTTCTCTACCTGTGGCCTGACCTGTCAGGTTTTGCCACTTCATTCCACAGGTGGAGAAGTTATTTTTGAGTGCATAAATTACAGAACCTTCAAAAATTAATACTATTTAGTGGCTCTGATGAAACTGTCCAGTTTCGAACCAGTATGCCCCCAGGCCGACGGCTGCAGGTCTACGTCTCCTCGCAGTTGATCATCTGACGGAGTCGGCAGGGGTAAATGCTAATGGGGATTGCGTGGGATATAACAGCCAGTCGCTCGTGCCAAGAAATGAAGCGAAGAAACGTCGAGGTGACGATGCCGACAGTGAGTGGAGCAAAGGTGAAAGTGAATCGTCGGCTTCAGAAGAGGAAAGCGCGGGCTTTGCTGGCTCCGGTATCGTTGGATCTACGTCACTAGTGGAATGTCCAGGTCTAAGTACTACTATCTTCGGCACTTGGAAAGCTTTCTCGAAGTACTTTGAGACGTACGCGTCGGACACGTATCAGCCATTCCGGTGACCTAGTTGTTATTTAGCAGTAATAATTGCGAAGTCTCACTGTGCTACTTTTTGACAGCATTCGTGACACTGCTACGGTGGAAGCTATGAACAAGAAGACCAGAGCACGCTCTATATCTGGAGCTCCTAGTGTTTCTCCAGACTATCTGTGTACGCCATTGATAATCCGCGCACTTGATGGTACATCTCTCATTTGTCTAAATGCTATTCAACATGTATTGCTAAGCCAGGCACCAAAGCTTCATCTAAAAACCAATTTCTCGACACTATGTGTTTATATGTGTATAAATGGAAGCGGTGTGTAGCTGGGCTAGATTTTACACCGGCACGGGACTTCCAGCGATGACGTTGAGCACTATAGAGCACCAAGCAAGAGAAATAGTACCTGCAGTGATATGCACGGCTAGTAAAAATCACATTCTTACAATGTAAACTGAGATCAAATTTCACGAGGATCTTTGTTACCGAGCTCACCGTTTCATGCTGGATATGAACTGGGAGTAATATCATTGTTACACGCAAAGCTACTAGACATGAGTTGGCGACACAAATGTATGGGCCGGAAAAGGCTGCCTTAGCCGCTTGGTATACTCTTGTCACGCCCCATACTCCTTTCTTCTAGTCTCTTAGTCTGCCACCTGCGAAATTAGTGCTATAGCGTGGACCCGTATAACCCCAACATCCCAGAAGCATAGGTAAT